CTTAGCTGTTAGTTTCCTTCCTCTTTCTTTTTCTTATCTTCCTTTCTCTTCTAGATCACTGACATTACTTTATTTGTGAGTGACTTTGAACGAGTAGTGGATGACTTTTATCTGCCTATTGGTGATCAGAGTCTTCTGCACATGTAAATTTTAAACCATCAATTAAATGCTTGTGCAAAAACTTTCAGTGGTTTATCATTTCTTAAACAAGAACAACAGAACATCTCGGTTTCCCTGTATGGCATCCCAAGCCTTCTACCAGGAGGCCTCAACCTCTCAACACACTTCCGCTGCAATGCTCACCTAGTGGTACCCACCAGGATGCTGGATAGATGATTTATGTTGAGCTAATATTTGTATATGGTGTGAGGAAGGGGTCTAACTTCAAGTTTTTGTGTGTGGATCCCTAGTTGTTCCAGTACTATTTGCTGAAAAGATGACTCTATCTCTGAGCCTCAATCACCTCATCCCTAAAAAGAACTTGAAAAGGTAATTCCACTGCTGGGCATATACCCTGAGGAAACCAGAACTGAAAAAGACACATGTACTCCAATGCTCACTGGAGCACTATTTACAATAGCTAAGACATGGAAGCAACCTAGAGGTCCATTGGCAGATGAATGGATAAGGAAGTTGTGATACATATACACAGTGCAATATTACTCAGCTATAAAAAGGAACACATTCGAGTCAGGTCTAATTTGGTGGATGAACCTAGGACCTGTTGTACAGACTGAAGTAAGACAGAAAGAGAAAGACAAATACCATATACTAACACATATATGTGGAATCTAGAAAGATGGTACCAACAGTTCTACATGCAGGGCAGCAAAGAAGACACAGAGGTAAAGAACAGACTTTTGGACTCGGTGGGAGAAGCTGAGGGTGGGATGATTTGAGAGAAGAGCATTGAAACATAGAGAAGGGAATGGAAACCCACTCCAGTAATCTTGCCTGGAGAATTCCATGAATAGAGGAGCTTGGCAGGCTACAGTCCATGGGGTTGCAAAGAGTCAGGCATGACGGAGCAACTATCACTCACACTCACTCATTGAAACACATACATTATCATATGTAAAATAGGTAACCTGGGCAAGTTTGATGTATGACACAGGGCACCTAAAGCTGGTACTCTGTGACAAGCTGGATGGATGGGAAGGGGAAGGAGGGCACACGTGTATACCTATGGCTGAGTCATACTGATGTATGGCAAAAACCATCACAGGATAATTATCCTCCAGCTAAAATAATTACTTAAAAAAAGACTACCTTGTGAGAAAAGATCACTACTGTGAACATTCAAAGAGATAGAAAATGGTGTGCTGTGTGGGGGCAGTGGGGTGGTCCCCGGCACACAGCAGTCAGCCAATGCCTATAACTGAAGACACGAAGAACAGGTTAGTGGGCAATGAGACAGCGGCCGTCCTCACTTCCCCTGGACCGCAGGCGCTCTGCCATCCCTAAAGAGCAGTCACGGCTGCAGCCCCACGCACTTGTCACGAGAGCCTGTGCCATCCTCAGGACAGCGGTGTCCAAACGCCCCCTTCCCAAGAACCCCTCTTCTGACTGGCCCTGATCACTTTCTCGTCTCCATTTCCCTTTTTCCTCCCTCACATTCTATCTTAATTTTGCATTAAATATTCTTCGTCTTAATTAATCAACTACAATTTTGCTAGCCCACTCAAATCTTTTTGGGCAAGGTGGTGGGAAGGCATGAATGAACGAATGAGTCAAGCAAAGAACAGGCCCCTAATTTAAAGCCAGAACAGTGAGGCCTGTGAGCTAAAGGGATGGACAGGCCACCCCAGGTGGAGGGGTCAGAAGTCGGCCTGTGTGAGGCTCCCTCCAGCCCAGCGCTCTCTGCACGCCCCCCCACTTCCCCTCCCACCCTGGAGCTAGAGCAAGCTTCTTAAATCACATCTCCCTCCTCCACCGTGTTTGCAACACCTCCCAATTTAGTTTTCTCTCTGAATTTCATTAGTGTCCCATTTGCCTCGTCTTCCTGATCTCTGAGGCAGGCGTTAAGCAGGAGGAGACTGAGTTGGCAGCAAGCGCTCCTGCCTCCTGACCGCGGGTGAGGGAAGGAGGAAGAGGAGGACAGGCCCCTCGGACGGCCTTCTGGTCAACTCAGCTCAGCCCAATGAGCTGTTACTGGACGCTACCTGTGCACCAGGCTCCGGGGGCCTCCAGCTGAGGATCTGAGCTGGCCCTGGAAACCCTGGGCTCAGGGGGATGGAGGAACAGGGCCCGGGTGATATGCTGCAGGGGCACGGCCCTGCTGGGCTGGCAGAGTGAGTGAGGACGAGGGGGTGAGGGCGGGGAGGAAGGCAGTGGGGACCTTCCCGGAAGAGGGGACAACACACATAAAGGCAGGGTGCCGAGAACAGAAGAGCATAACGAGTCGCGCTGTGGAATCTTTCATTCAGCTGTTTACTCATTCATTCAGCCAGCGCCTATTTCCTGAGTGCTTGCTGCATCCTAGGCAGTGTGCTAGACATCAGAACCCCGCCGAAACAACACAGAGTAACCCCCTGCCTTCATGGAGCTTGCATTCCAATGGGGGAAGAGCAGAAGACAGACTTGAGAGTAATATACAAAGTGCCAGGTGGAGATAAATGCTACCGAGGAACGGTCAAAGGGAAGATGGGCACCGGGAGACCTGGGGGGCGAGGACTGCCTTCCCTCCTCACCTCCTCTAAGCCCACCTTGCTCACACCATGGGACCCCAGCTGCATTTGCTGATTCAGCCCCATCTATGCTCTGCTCGCTTGGATGGTGACCTGGAGGTCTGTTCCCTCTGCCTGAAGAGTTCTCTCCAAGACTGGAAAAGGGATTCGATGTCTTATGCTTTGAGGGGGGAATGTGTTTATGGTTCAGGATGAGCACGGGGCCACTGGCGTGAGCGAGGGATAGAGACGGGGTACGAGGGGGCAGGGGCTAGCTCAGGTGAGTCCTGGGGGGTCAGGGGGAGGTCTGTGACCTTTCCTCTGCGTGAGCTGGGGAACCATGAGCGAACTGTGGGCAGAGGAGTGATCTGATCTGACTGAACCCATCAGATCAGATCTGTTCCCTCCCCCGGGAGGGAATGGTGGCAGCAGAATCCCCCAAGGAGGCCACTGCAAGGATCCAGGTCTGAGGCTGGCTCGGACCAGGGAGGCGACAGAGGAGTCAGAGCCTAGCGTGGTGCTGGGTCTACTGTCAATATGCAATATGTTTTTGCTGAATTGGTAAATAAATGATTGAATCTGAGGTTATGTATGATCTAGGCTCTGGTGCTTTTTAGCTGGGAAACTTCAAATAAGATAATTAATGTCTCCGGGTAAAAAAAAAAAAATACTGATAATCTCTTTAGAATGTGTTAATATCATTAGTTCTGAATATGAGTTATTTGGTTGGAACACCAGATTAAGGGGCTTCCTAGGTGGTACTAGTGATAAAGAACCCATCTATCAATACAGCAGACATAGGAATGCGAGTTTGATCCCTGAGTTGGGAAGATCCCCTGGAGAAGGAAATGGCAATCCACTCCAGTATTCTTGCTTAGAGAATCCCCATGGACAGAGTAGGCTGGTGGGCCACAAGTCTACAGCCTCACCAAGAGATGAACACAACTGGGGTGCCTTAGAACGCACACACACATCAGATTAAAAAACTAAAGAAATGGAAAAAAAAAGTCTCTGAGTCTCAGTTTTCTTACCTGTAAAATGGAACTCATAATACCTACTATGGTAGAGGCAGTTACCGCCCATCAAATATCTATACTTCCCAGAGCCCTAGAAACCAGGTTAGACCACAGGATTAGTTCTGGCCCACAGGCTGTGCCACTTTTGAGCCAAAGCATTTAAGAGCCAGCGCTTAACCTTCCGGCCACCTCTTCCCCCGATGTGGAGATCAAGGTGGCCCCTTGTTCCAGGGGCTACACCTAAAACATGGCAGAGCTGCCACCAGCCTGACCCCTGAGTCACGGGGTAGGGCAGAGACCTCTACCCTCCTTGGTTAGATGGGTAGCAAGAGCAAGAAATAAACCTTCACTGTGTGAACCCACTGAGATTCCGGAGTTCACTTATTACTGCAGCATAACTGAGCCCAGAAAGACTCGGGCTTCTACCCAGCATGATCGTCCACACGGTAAGAAGAAGTGCTTGGTTCACAGCTTGTTGTTGCTGTTCGGTCAGTCGCTCAGTTGTGTCTGACTCTTTGCGACCCCATGGACTGCAGCACGCCAGGTTTCCCTATCCCTCACCATCTCCTGGAGTTTGCTCAAACTCACGTCCGTTGAATCGATGATACCGTCCAACCATCTCAGGCTCATCCCCTGGGTCCTGACCTTTCCCCCGATTCTGTAGCCTTCCCGATGACCCAGGCTCCATTTATGATGCTCCCCTTCTCTCTGCCATGTTCTTTCTCTAGTTTGAAACATCCTTCTACTCCCTACTCCTCCGCAGGTGTGTTCTGGTTTTGCCATTGCATAGCAGTACCAGAAAAGCCCCGGGAAAGCCATTCTGGCCAGCTGGACCTGGCCTGTGGACCACCTGTCCTCTGGGCAGTCGCCCACACACTTCCTCCTATCTCATTCTCAACTTCACCTCCTATTTCACTCCAATTCAGCTTGAAATGTAACCACCAAACTCTGGACCCTGCCCTTGGTGCCTAGGGCCCCAGGATGACTCTCGAGGCCGTTGCAGCCTCTGGTGGACCTGGTTACACACCGTGCTTCCTGGGTGCCAGCTCCCCGCTCACACCCGGCTGCATGCCTGGCCCTTGCCTGCCCTGTCCGCCCACCAAGCTGGCACTGGCTTGGCTTCCAGCAGCCACCAATCCCGCTACTGCATCTGTTCTCCAAGAAGGCCACCTCCACCCTGGCCTGACCTCTCCACTCCCTAGGCAGCTTAGTTGGCAAAAGCCTTCAACCTGTTTTCAGATTCTAAGACGCCATTTCTCATTAAGACCACAGGTTTGCAGTTGATGACACAGAAAATCAGGGCAGACAAGGGACTGACCTGGCTCCATGTCAGCACGTTCTGAAGAGTCAGCAGTGTCCGTGGGCCCTGAAGCCCTCTCTCCAGGGCCATCAGCTCCTGGAGGATGGGACAGGATCCTTCCTGTTGAGGCAGAGAACAGAGATTCAAGGGAGTGCAGTGGCAAGGTGTCCTTGACCCTGTCTTACAGATCTCTCCGCAGCAAATGTGCACCAGTGGGGGGAGGGGGCTGGTTCCTGGTCTCCCAGGCATGCAGAAAAGCAAGTGCGGTCTCAAATACCCTGGGAATCCTGCACAACACCCTGTCTGCAACCTTTCTTTCCACTCCCGTCTCATCTGGCCTTGTGTGGCAGCCACTGTAGACACATGCCTCCTCAAGCTTACCAAACCCCTGGAGGGTCAGAACTGCAGCCTGGCATAGGCTTTACAAGCCTGGCATAGGCAGCTTGGTGTAGAGTAGACACCGAGTATTCCGTGAAGGACTGACTCTGCTGTGATGGAAGCAGGGAGCAAGGAGGGGGCAGAGCATGTGGCCAAGGCACCAGCCTCTGCAGCAGTTCTATCATTGATTCACTGGGCAAATAAATACATCACTTAGTGTCCTGCCCTATAGAATGGCCCCATCCTCCCTGCCATATATCATCTGGGAGTCACGTGGGCAAAGCTCCTTACACCCAAGAGTCTGGCTCTGGTCCACTTGCTTATCACTCTGCAACCTCCAGCAAATCACTTCCCCTCCTTGAGCCTTTGTCTGAAAGAGAAAAACTCTGAGCTAGGCTACATGTAAGATTCTTTATGCCCCAAGAATTCTATGACACTGTTGATTCATCTCCACACATCCAGTGCCCAAAGAGGTGTCTGTCCACAATAAAGCTTTGTGAAATGAATAAAAGAAAATTCCATCTCACTCCAAGGAAGAGTGACAAGAGGGCCAAAGGTGTTAAGCCACTTGCAGCAGATCACTGCGAGAGGAGGAGCTGGGATTTGAACACAGGTCCTCATAGACACGAGGACTTCAAGTACACTTGAGGTCTCTGTACTTCTCCTGCACCAACTACTGCACTCACCCGCTGGAGACACGACAAATTGCCTTTTTATATGAAAGACGCACTAAGCTAAAGGACAATGCACGAAGGATACATCCATCTGAAGTACAAAGTCATTGTTTGAGAAATTCCCTGAATACATATTTGCCAAATATACCTAGGAGCCTAGCTAAGAAGACGTTATTGCCTATTAGAAGGTGAGGAATTACTGGTAATCTTCATTAAGACAAAACTCCCCTAGGTGTGAAATTTTGCTGGCTTCATCTGCATTTCCTGTTTCTTTATTGTAAATTCTCGTTATTCTACACAGAGTGACTGTATTGGGTGGGAACATTCACCAGGCTCTGCCCAAGTGCAGAGTAGCTTTCCCTCAGGGCTCAGGCTCCCAAACACCACCAGTTAGAATCAGCAAGACTTAAGTTTGGAGGTAAACTAGAAGAATCCTTATAAACCATACTATATTCACTAAAACAAAAAATAGGCAGTAATCACAGGAAATGTCTATCATTTTATGTATCTCAAATGAGCGGTAATGGTTACTGTGCCCTTAATTTCTATTTACTGTGCCTTGTTCATTACTAGTTTGCCCTTCAGAGTTTCAGAGGGGAGCAGGAAATTGGCTGTAACGATGGACGTGGTGAGAGGCCCTTCCTCTTGTGTGTTGCCCTCTTCTCCCGGGCCCGGTGCCTTGTGGATTTTAGGACTCAGCGTTGTCCGCTTGGCCTGCAAGGGACACACTGCGGTCGTAATTGTATCCTGTGACTTGGATGAAGCACGTAGTGTCTTTCTCAAACCCCTCTCCTTTGTCCAGGTCACACAATTTCACTCTGGCTCCAGAGCTGCTACTTGGGACCTTTATCTGATCCCCCATCTTGAAGACGCTGCAGAACTCAGGCTTACTTCTCTTCCGCCTTCATCTTCGCCAAGCTTCCAGGGAAAACCTCTACTCCTTTCTTCATTTATTATTTTCCGTTTGTATCCCCGAATTCCCTTTTTCAACGTCAAGTCATCACTTGGTACATAGAGAAGGATTTTATCTCTCCTGGGTACCAAATTCCAAGGTAGGGATCCCTACCATGATCCCTCATGGGTACCAAATTCCATGGATGCTTAAGTGCCTTATATAAAACAGTATAGGGCATGTGACCTACACATAACCTCCAATCTACATGAAATTATCTCTAGATTACTTATGATACCTTACACAAGATAAATGATATGTAAATACTTGTAAATACAATGTAAATGCTATGTAAACATTTACTGGTGGGGCCAAGTCAACTTTGGTTTGGGGAACTTTCTAGAGACTTTTCTTCCCCCAGAATATTTTCAATCTGTGGTTGGTTGAATCCACAGACATGAAACCCATGGGTATAAAGGGCTGACTGTACCTCCAATAAGCACCATTTGACGGTTAACGAAACCAAAATACCCAAGGACTGGCCAAAGGCTTTAGGGTTTTCCTGGTGGCTTAGGCAGTAAAGAATCTGTCTGCAGTGCAGGAGACCTGGGTTCAATCCCTGGGTCGGGAAGATCCCCTGGAGAAGGAAATGGCAACCCACTCCAGTACTCTTGCCTGGAGAATCCCATGGACGGAGGAGCCGGGCAGGTTATAGTCCATAGGGCCACAAAGAGTCGGACACTACCGAGCGACTAACGCTTTCCCTTTCATGTAGCAGCAGTTTATGAAGGGAAATGCAGTTAGGACTGGGTGAGGGTGTTCATCCCTCGCTCCCTCGCATTCGGGAGTGTTAGGTGTGAGNCCGGGCAGGTTACAGTCCATAGGGTCACAAAGAGTCGGACACTACCGAGCGACTAACGCTTTCCCTTTCATGTAGCAGCAGTTTATGAAGGGAAATGCAGTTAGGACTGGGTGAGGGTGTTCATCCCTCGCTCCCTCGCATTCGGGAGTGTTAGGTGTGAGACAGGACACACGGGGGGGCTCAGAAGCCCCTCGGAGGGCTCACAGGGTGGGAAGGAGAATAAGACAGCGGGGCTGCAAGTGATGGGGATGCTTGGCACTTCTGGAGGTGGGAACAGGAAAACAAAACAGTCAGAAGAGGGAGGAGCAGAGAGGCCACGCCAGCTGACGCACCAGGGAGCATGGACGGGACAGCACACCATCCGTGCCCGGCCGGGCACCGGGGACAGGACGGGCACCCCTGTGAGGGCGTGATGGTACCGTGCCCGGCCGGGCACCGGGGACAGGGTGGGGGGGTGCTGGCACTGGGGACAGGGTGGGCACCCCTGTGAGGGCATGATGGTACCATGCCCAGCCAGGCACTGGGGACAGGGCGGGCACCCCTGTGAGGGCATGATGGTACCATGCCCGGCCGGGCACTGGGGACAGTGTTTGGGGGGGCTGGCATGGGGACAGGGTGGGCACCCGTGTGAGGGCATGATGGTACCATGCCCGGCCGGGAACCGGGGACAGGGTGGGGGGGTGCTGGCATGGGGACAGGGCGGGCACCCATGTGAGGGCATGATGGTACCATGTGCGGCTGGGCACCGGGGTGGGAGGGGAAAGTGTGGGTGAAGAATGAGTGAGGACTACGTGAGGGGAAGCGGAAGGCACCTGACAGATGACACGGGCCCCAATGAGCAGGGCCCCGAACGTCAAAACAGAGAAGGTGGCCATCATTCACTGGTAATAGAGCCACTCAGGGCTTCTGAGCAGAGATGTGACATAATTAGAGACATGTTGCAGGAGGATGGATTTGGCGAGCTTGCACAGTGCGGATTGGAAGGGGAGGAAGCTAATTGTGTGCCACGCACTGGGCAGTGTTTGGGTACATATTTGAGCTCAGTTAACCTCCTAAACAACCGTAGGAGACAAGTCTATTCCTTCCAGACTTGTAGATGAGAAAATGAGGCTTCAGGGAATTCCAGCTGCTGTCCCCTAATCCCCTGGCTAGGAAGCGCAGTAGATGAGATCTGGATCCGGTTCTTTCCTTTCCCAGGTGAGCCTTAAAGCGTGCTGTGACCTGTGCGGACACTTGTACACTGGACAGCCCAGGACACCTTCTGCTCCCAGCGTACCTCCCACCTGCCCTAGGATGGGGATGGGGGAAGCAGGATGGTTTCCTGGGCTGCCTTTTGAGAGGCTGAGATGGAATTAAGTGCCAAGTGCCTTTGCTCCAGTTAGCTTTCCCTCGTACGTGCGTACGTGCTAAGTCGCTTCAGTTGTGTCTGACTCTTTGTGAGCCCATGGATGGTAGCCCACCAGGCTCCTCTGTCCGTGGGATTCTCCAGGCAAGAATACTGGAGTGGGTTGCCATTTCCTTCTCCAAGGGAATCTTTCTGACCCAGGGAACGAACCCCTGTCTCTTAAGTATCCTGCAATGGCAGGCAGGTTCTTCACCTCTAACGCCACCTGGGAAGCCTCCAGCTTTCCCCCAGGTGACCCCAATCTAGAAGATAATACCGTGAGTTGTCTCCCAAACAACATGGACTACAGGCTCTTGCAGAGAATTCCAAAAGTAGCAGGGGACCACCTTATTCTCTTGTAGGGAGTGCTAACTTCTGTCAGCTACGTTTAAGAGAGGCAGCCGACCAGGAGCCCAGGGAAACCCACTTGAATACCCAGGCCTCCTCTGCTGGGCCATGGAGAATGCCAGTGAGGAGCCCGTCACTGTTTGGGAGGACTGCTCGGAGGACTCAGTGCACTCCATCTGCACTGGCACACCTGCAGCCTGGAGAGAACTGTCACGAATCACTCCCATCAAGAGGCCTGCTGCGAAAACTTGGGTTTTTTCCCAAGGAAAAAAAGATTTCCTCATTCTAAACATGGGACACGGTGATGGCTGTGCCATACACTGGACAATCCAAGGCGTAGGTTCTCTTCAGGGAAGCCTGGTACAGTGGCAAGAGCAGGGACTTAGGAAGCAAATAGGTTGGGTCTTAATCACACCCTCCAACCTCCCCAGGTTACTGGCTATACCTATGGGGCCTTGGGCAAACCACTTAGCTCCTTGTGCGTGCATGCTAAGTCACTTCAGCTGTGTCTGACTCTTTGCGACCCTATGGACTGCAGCCCACAAGGCTCTTATGTCCATGGGATTCTCCTGGCAAGAACACTGGAATGGGTTGCTGTGCCCTACTCCAGGGGATCTTCTTGACCTAGAGGTTGAACCTTAAGTTTCCTCATTATTAAATGAGAATGATAATAATGACTTAGAGAGACTAAGTGCCAGGCCCTGGGTACATACATAAGAATGTGTAATAACTTCTTCTCGTCTTTTTATGTTCAACATTTTGGCTATGCCCTCCCAGTGAGGTTTGCTCTCCTCACAAATTTACCAACTGAAGTCATGGATTTTTGGAGGAAAAAATGCTGCAATTATAGCAGGTTGTTAATACCCTTGACCTAGTGCTTATTGGGCTTCCCTGGTGGACCAGATGGTAAAAGAAAAAATCTGTCTGCAATGCGGGAGACCCAGGTTTGATCCCTGGGTTGGGAAGATCCCCTGGAGAAAGGAATGGCTACCCACTCCAGTATTCTTGCCTGGGGAATTCATGGACAGAGGGGCTTGGTGGATTACAGTCCATAGGGTTGCAAAGAGTCAGACATAACTGAGCAACTAACACTTCCAGAGCTTATTAACAGCATCTTGGAATTGTTGGCATATCTTTCTCCTCCACCATACTGGGACCTTCCTGAAGAGGGTAACCACTGTGGCTTCAATTTCAGGTACACAGATGTCCC